AATAAATTAATGAAAATTAATAATTGAATATAAAAGGGATATTTGCAGAAATAAGTTACTTTAAAGAACTTAAAAATTAAATAGATCCTTTTGATCCAAAAAATATGATTTTATAACCATTTTTCAAAAGCACAACTAACAGTTATTCAAATGCAAATTATCCCATTAACTAGGCAACTAATAAACATCAAATGAATAAACCTTTTATACGCTATTTCTGGAAGATATTGTAATTTAAAACTAACTCATAAACTCAATAAATCATTAATATATTATTTATGAATTATCCATTGGATATTGTAATCAGATTAGCTTTAGGATGGATAAAAATGCGCAAAGCAAGATTTAGTTGGTCAATTTTTTTATAGGATAACTATTTTTAATTGTTGATGTATTTCGAGCAATTTGATCCTAGAAAAAAATAAATAATTAAAGTTCCTCTAGTATTCGTTTTTGATACGTTAAGTAATTAAATAATCTAAAATTAGTTGATTTTAAAAGCAGGAGAATTGATAATGGACGATGGATTTTTATTCCAAAATTCCAATAAATTCACTTATCTTTCTGTAGTGACTATCTTAAGTACTTAACCTGATAAAGAAATTTCAAAAAAAGTTTTTGGCAAAGAAATATTTTCAATTTTATTGTTAAGTTTATATTAAATAAAAATGGTAAATATCGTTGAATACCCAAGAATCTCAGAAATATTAGCAGATACAAGTTCAATCATAACTTGGATTCTTTCAATATCATTTTTAGTATCAAAATATAATGAGAATATTTGTTTATAAAAAACATAAAATGAAGTAATTTCAATGTATTATCATGATTATATTGATTTTAAAATATAAAAGAATTGGTTAGGTAAAATCAAAAGAATAAATTATAAAGAAAAAGAATATGATCCAAAAAATCAGAATAAATCCTTAATAAATTAGATTAAATTGTTGTTGAGAAAATGAATTATTTAAACTTATAAAATGAAGTAGCTAAGTAAGAATTATTTAATTAAATTAGGTTATAATTAATCTTACAAGAACATTTAGGATTACATTAAATTAAAAAATATTTAGAATCACAAACAAAATTAGAGCTTTTATTTGACTAAGTATGCACACCTGAAAAAACATCAAATTAATTAAAAATAAAATAAATTGTATTTATTTTCAATTTTCAAATCATATTTTAAATGATCACTAATTTGAAAGGGTTTTATAATAAGGAGGAGAGAGTAAGAGAAGAGTTAATTATAACATATCTTTGGATTAAGAATTGGAAGATAAAATAGGATTGTTATCTTAAAAAATAATAGATAATCACTAAATTGATAAGCTTAATAGCAATTAAGATATAAGTTAACCAATTCATAATTATAGTACCTTATTCTAAGTCATTAATATTGAATAATAAATGGATAATAAATGATTAGAACCACATATTTATTTTTCTTTTAAGATATTTTTATCATATAATTTAGTAATAAAATCTAAATTAATTTTTTAACTACTTATAAATCTACAACATTTTATTTGCAAATATTTGAGAGAAATGAGAGTTTTAAACTGTATTGTTTATTTTAAATTATTTAATTTCTAATAATATTTCAATTTAGAAGAAATTACCAAAATAATCTAAACTATTATATTTCTTTACCAAATTTAATTAAAAATATTAGTTTAATTATTGGTCTCCTTTAGTTATCTGTTTACAATTTCAAATTAAAATTATTAAAACAAATGTATAGTAAATGAAGTAAAAATTTAAATATTGATAAAAAAAAGTATTGAAAAAAATTATTTGAGCAAAAACTTAATTATAATTTATTTTTATTTAAAATGTTATTCTTTTTATAATCAATAGATCAATTTGGAGCTTAGTAAAAACTTTAAATTCCCACTATTAATCCTACATAAAAAAGTGCTTTTGGTGGATTAGTAACTTTAACTTTGTATGGAATCAGTTTAGGATATTTTTTATTTTAATTTGTTGATTGGCAATAAAATAATAAACTTCCAAAAGTTACATCTCTATAAGAATAAATTAATGAAAATTAATAATTGAATATAACAGGAGTATTTGCAGAAATAAGTTACTTGAAAGTACTTAATAATTAAATAGATCCTTTTGATCCAGAAAATATGATTTTGTAACCATTTATAATTAGCTTTACCAATGATTATTCAAATGTAAATTATATTATTAACTAGGCAACAAAAATCAATGCTACATTTTCAAAACATAAAACATAAGATGGATAAACTTTAAATACACTATATCTGGAAGATATTTTACTTTAAAACACACCCACAGACTCGATAAATAATTATTATACTAATTATGAATTATCCATTGGATATTGTAATCCAGAATAGCTTTAGGATGGAGAAAAATGCGCAAACCAAGATTTAGTTGATTAATTTTTTTTACAGGATAACGAATTTTAATTGAT